AATTCGTATATGGGATGTTAAAACAGGATAAAAAAAAGCTTAATTAGATGGTCATTCTGGAGCTGTCTATTCAGTCTGCTTTTCACCAGATGGAGCTACCTTAGCATCCGGTAGTAGTGATTGTTCTATTCTTATATGGGATGTTAAAACAGGATAAGAAAAAGATTATTTAAATGGTTATGGCCATTCTGATTGGGTTAAATCAGTATGTTACTCACCAGATGGTACTATTTTAGCATCAGGTAGTGAAGATAAGTCAATTATTTTATGGGATGTTAAGACAAGATAATAAAAAACTTAATTGGATGGCCATTATGGCTCTGTCGAATCAGTTTGCTTTTCCCCAGATGGAACTATTTTAGCATCAGGCAGCAAGGATTTTACAATCCTTTTATGGGATGTTAAAACAGAATAATAAAAAGCAAAATTAAAAGGTCATAAATAAGATGTAAACTCAGTATGCTTCTCTTCAGATGGCACTACTTTAGCTTCAGGTTGTGGAAGATCATATGAACGTGGTGGTGATTGTTCAATTATTTTATGGGATATGAAAACAGGATAATAAAAAGCTTAGTTAAACGGTCATTCTCATTCAGTCGAGTCAGTATGCTTCTCACCAGATGGAACTACTTTAGTATCAGGTAATGCTGATAAGTCAATCCGTTTATGGGATGTTAAAACAGGATAATAAACAGCTTAATTTGATGGTCATTATGGATCTGTCGCATCAGTATGCATCTCACCAGATGGAACTACTTTAGCATCAGGCAGCTAGGATTTTACAATCCTTTTATGGGATGTTAAAATAGAATAATAAGATGATTCGTTATATGGTCATACTAATTTTGTTCAATTAGCCTGCTCACCTGATCGAACTACTTTAGCTTCAAAAAGTAGAGAGAACTCAATCGGTTTATCGGATGTTAAAACAGGATAATCTATAAAACTCACAGATAAACGTTATAAAGATATAATAAAATAATTACCATTTTAATAGATTTAACTTGCAGAGAAAGGTATTTATTAGACTTTTATTTAGTAATGAATTATCCGAAAATCATTATTTCCTCATTCTCCACTCTATATGCTTAAGGGGCTTTAATTTTAAAAGGGGAATTTCTTAATCATTAAGGTTATGATTTGAAGCCCTTATTAAAAACTAAAGGAGGTTAATTTTTGGAAAATAATTTAGAAAAACCATAAAAGAAGAATTGAATTTTTTTAAATCATTAAGAATATTTTTAATTAAATTTATTAAATTTAGACATCAAAAAATGGGTAGGGTTTTAAAACATATAACTTAACTAATATAAATGGGTTTGGCTTAAAATACTCCGAAATTATATTTTTAGCTAGGGGGCTTTTATTTCTGTTTTCGCCCTCAAATCGTATACCAACACATGGCAGCTGTTCTGTTTGATTTTCACTCGTGGTGACTGGGGATTGGACCATTAGAAGTTTATTTCAGCAGTCATATTATAGAAATTTTTATTTTTTTATAAATAATTTGTTTTTTTATTTTTGTATATGATAATATACAGCTACTGTTTTTTTA